TCCTCCCTCTCATGCTCTCTCTCTTGCTCTCAAATAAATAAATAAAACCTTTAAAATGATAAAATCTTTAGGGGCGCCTGGGTGGCTCAGTCGTTGAGCATCTGCCTTTGGTTCAGGTCATGACACCAGGGTCCTGGGAGCGAGCCCCGCATCAGACTCCCTGCTTGGAGGGAAGCCTGCTTCTCCCTCTCCCACTGCCCCTGTTTGTGTTCCCTCTCTCGCTGTGTCTCTCTCTGTCAAATAAATAAATAAAATCTTCAAAAAATAAAATTAAATAAATAAATCTTTAAAAAAATAATAAAATATGTCAGTTTAGTTATATTTATTAAATAAAGCTAATAATAGGTATCTCTTGAAAGTAAGAGCTCCAGGAACTAAAAAAATATCATAAAATTTCTGTCTCATTTCTTTATTAGCACATATAATTATGACTTTCACTTAGTGTGCATTAGTCAGTTAAACAACTCAGAATTTCACCAAATTAACAAACTATAGAAATGATCCCTGAAAGTACAGTCTTAGAATTTCACCAAATTAACAAACTATAGAAATGATCCCTGAAAGTAGTCTTAGAATTTCACCAAATTAAAAACAAAAATTCTATCAGAAATCTGAAACCCAAGAAAAAAAGATAACATAACTAACCTTGGTCAAGAAAGTCTCAATGCCATTATTTGTAGGCCGTGAGCGTGGGGTAAGAATCACTAGGTTTTCTCTTGGAGCAACATTTCTATTGAGCAGTGAACTATTATTAATATTTCTAACAGAAGGCAAGTCTAGGACAGGCCTCATAGTAATAGTATTAATCAAAGACTGTTTTTGCTGTTTCTCCACCAGAAGTCTGGTACTGCTCTCTGCCAGCTTCTCATTAGTCCTGTTAAGACTACAAAACACAGCGCGTAGTATTTCATTTCTCCCCACATCATTCCTAAATGACTTGCATTTTTTGAAAGTTTCCATAATAGTAAACAGAATGTGCCATTAAAGGGTGTTTTAACACTGAAAATGTGACAGAGCAGACCTACAATATATAATGATAGGTTTAAAATTGTTCTAAAGAAGTACATATATTTCTAGAGATTCCTAACTAACAAGTAATTCAAATTAAGGAGGGAGAGAAATGGCTATTAGTGATGCACAATGCTTAACAGGTAATACATGCTGCCTTCTGGAATGGCTGTACTTACAAGGTTCTTGAGGATGCCATGACACATACTTATATTTAGTAAAGCAGCATGCCATTACATATACTTATATTTAGTAAACCAGTTTAGAGATACAAAAATATAAAACCATCCCGGGGGGCTGGGTGCTCGGTCAGTGAACCATCTGCCTTCCGCTCAGGTCATGACCCCAGAGTCCTGGAATCGAGCCCCTGCTTTTCCCTCAACCTCTTCCTGCCGCTCCCCCTGCTTGAGCTCACTCGCTTGCTCTCTGTCAAATAAATACATAAAATCTTTGAAATAAAAATTCTTGTACATTTCACTCATTATCTCAGAGAAATTGAGCATTTGACACTGAGGAATAATTTAGACGAACAACTGCTAGATGGCAGAGTTGTGATCAGAAAGACAGAAAACAGCTCCGGAGGCAATTAGGTTATAACACAGTTACCAGGGTACTGGAGGTGGAATCTACCCGTTCTGTCTTTCACCCAGCCCCTCCTCATGTCCACCATGGTGCTATTTTTAGCCACTTTGGGAATTATGCTGCCTTTCACCCCTAGGTGAATCTTGTTGTATTTCACATGTATACCTTTATGTAAGGTAGAAAAACTATATAAAGAACAGTTTGTTTCAAAGCACCCTCTATTTGGTAATAATAACAAAAATCACCATCAAAAAAGTAAATTTACCAAGCTGCCAGGATGTGCAGTTTGGGTTAAAGATGTACTCTTCCAAAAATAAACTCACTAATATTAAGAAACTCATTGCTATTCAGGGCAATTCTGACAAACAATTTTATAATAACATGCTGTCTAAATTATAAAGCTTCTAACAATTAGCTTAAAGACTAGGAGATCAGATTAACTGAAAATATTAAGGGGAAAAAAATAAAATCATGTAAAACCGAAAAAAGGAGGAGAGAGGCAAACTGTCTTGGACTAACATTTCAAAGGTAAGTTCTTTTACAAACATCGTTTTCCAAAATTAAACTATCTTACTCATCTCATGAACTTGGCTCCATAAAAATTATGCTTTAGAGGCAAATTAACAAGCTAAATCTATTTTCTATGATTCTGTTTTAACTTACTTGCTCAGTTCATTTGTCAATGACGTTTGAACTTTTAATTCTTCTACGTAGAGTTGCTTGTGTTTTTCCAATTCTGTTTTATAAAAATCTCGAGAACTTTTCATTCTGGATAGTTCAAATTCCAATTCTTTAATTCGGAGTTCCATTTGACTTCTTATTGAAGCATTATTAGTTTCTCTTAACTGTCCTAACCTTTCTTGAGATGCTACTTGTGTCTAAAGCAAATTAAAAGCATAGTTTTAAAACTGGGTAAATACAGTATATTTCTTTCCTTTAGTTTTGAGTCAATGATTCAGAGAGCAATTGTAAATGTGAAAAAAAAGCTGAAGTGTAAAATATTTCTCATCAATGTCAACTGAATTAAATCTGAATGATAAAGTTCAATCATTCTTATATTAGAACTCATGCAATCTGATAATTCAGAGAATAAGAGAATCCTTTAAAAACTTTAAAAAGTGAACAATACAACTTAAGAATAATCCAAAAACAGGGGGTACCTGGCTGGCTTAGTCGGTTGAGCGCCGGACTCTGGGTTTCTGCTCAATCGTGATCTCAGGGTCCTGAGATTAAAGCCCTGTGTCGTACTCAGCATGGAGTCTGCCTGGGATTCTCTCTCTCCCTCTGTGCATCCTCTCACCCGTGCTTTCCAGATAAATAAATAAATAAATAAATATCTTTAAAAAAAATAATCCAAGTATGGTACCATCTTTTTTTTCCCAGCAGGCTCCATGCTGGGCTTGATTTCACGAGCCTGAGCTGCTCAACCAACTGAGCCACCCAGGCACCCCATGGTTAAAATTTTTAAAAGACCATTTTTTCTTTTCCTGTCAATAGTCTTGTTTTATACCAACTGGTCTTAAAAAATAAAATGATTCTCTACTGTGAATCATTCTGAAAAATCAATTTAGTGAGAATAATGATGAAAAGTGAAATTTTTAAAGAGAAGGAACAAAATGTTCCTTCAAATTTACCAAATGGCTATCAAGGAAGTAGAGGAAAATTATACAATGCATATAACCAAAATGTAACTTGCAGTGAAATGATTAAAGCATACTACAGATCAGTAAATTAACCTGTAAAAACAGACTGGCTTCTTTTAATTTTTCTGTTATGTCCAATCTTATTCTTTCTTCAAGCTCCCATTTATATTGTTCTATTTTACTGTATTCCACCATACTGAGTTCTAAATGACTTCTGAGGTGTACTACTTGTTGTTTCAACTTCTTTTTATTCTTCTCTAGTTTTTCATATTTCTTCTGCATTTCCTTCATAGATGATAACTCCTGGGTAAGAAGCTGGTTTTTTGCATCCAGGTATAGACATTTTGAAGATGCACTTTCCAGTTTTGCTGTAAGATCATCAACCTGCACGAATAAAATAATACCGTTTGGAAGTAGAGTGAAAATAGTCTAATGCAAAACTATGACCAAATTTTTTTTTTAAAGATTTTATTTTTAAGTCTCTACACCCAACACGGGGCTTGAACTCACAACCCCCAAGATCAAGAGCCACACGCTCTACTGACAGAGCCAGCCAGGTGCCCAAATTTTAAAATAAATTCATTTTCAACAAAATGTTATCTATACTCGAAGTAGAGTCTTGGAATGTGGAACCTCAAATAACTCAGAAAATCAAGAACAAAATTAAAACCACTAGTAGTTACTAAAACAGATCTCTGCTATTGTTCTCTTGGCCACACATTTATACTTTTATTTTTCTAGGATTGTTTCAGATCTTTCCTCCATAAAATAACTGTAAGTCATCTCATAGTAGAACGTCTCTTAACCCTTCCCTCATCTTAACACTGTCCCTGTTCATCATCAGACTTTGAAAAAAATGTTTAAAGAAAATTATATTTAAAAATCTAGATACTCATTCTTCTATCATAAAATATTATTTCTCATGAATTCATGAGGAATAACGTGTTTAGAAAGGCTCATAAACTACATTTTAAAATTTTATAAATTTATAATTTTAAATTTATATAATGTAGTTTAAAATTTATAATTTTAAGTTTTATATAATGCAGTTTTATAAGCCTGATGCCAATAAATACAAATTTCAAATATAAGGACCTTTCCTAAAAACAGCTTCAACTGATTTTACCTTTTCATCATTATTTTTTCTAGAATTTAAATGGCCAAAATTTACTTGTTAAATACAGAGGTTCTTACCCATATTAATACTAAGGGTTAATGAAAATTTTTAAAAAGTGGTTATATTTACATTTTAGTTTCTAAAGATGCCCTAGAAACATTTTCATCCATAGCTTAAGATACCCTGGGTTTTGTGAGATCATACCTTTTTAAGATCATCTCCGAAAAATTCCTATGCAGGCCCCATTACAGTTTTGGTGATCGTCTGACTTTAGAATGAGATACCCTCATTCTCTGCAAGCATTTCAAGCATCTCTGCAAGGTTTCAATTTCTTCTTTTCTATTAACTACCTTTCTCTTTAAACAAAGTTTAAGTCTTCTCGATATTACACAAAAACTTTTGCTTAGCTCTGGCAGCTTTTTCTATCATCCTGCTCCTCCCCTTTCACGGGACTTGAACATTCTTTAATGTGTCATCTCATCCACAGATTCATCTTTCCAACACTTATTGTCTTCTTTTACACTAAAATCTGAGTTTCAATCCTGGAATTCCACTAAAAAATTTTGAGGGTCATCAAGGATCTTTTTTTTAAAGTCTTTATCCTGCTGTACTTCTCAGCAACAGCTGAAAACAATGACCATACCCTCCCTCTGCTCTTCTAATCCCATTTTATTTCTAAATGACAGCAGCCGCTGTTAGTCCCTGACCCTTGCTATTCCTCGTATCAAATCCTCTCACAGGTGGTTCAGTCTCAAGGCTTCAAAACCAGATTCTCTAATCTACATTTCCAGCCTTGGCCCCTTTACTGAGGTCATCTCTACTTTCCGATCTTCCTTCTAGTTCGTCACAGACAATATTCTCAACCACACACTCAAAAACCATTACCTGCTGTGGATTACCTTTATAGACAGCTAAATTTTTTTAAGTTTTTAAAATTTTTTTCTTTGAAGTAGAGAGTGCTGAATAGGGGAAGGAGCAGAGGGAGAGGGAGAAGCGGACTCCCAGCTGAGCAGGGCTCCATCTCAGGACCCTGAGATCATGGTCTGAGCCGAAAGCAGACGCTTAACTGACTGAGCCACCCAGGTACCCCTAGACAGCTAATCTTGTACCTTTTCTGTTGACTCTTTTTGGTATTACTTTGAGTGTACTGTTATTTTATAATCGCAGGGGGCACCCTTCCCCTTAGGATGCTGACCACCATACTCTGTCTTGCTTTTCTTTTCTGATGCAAATGTCTCTCACAAGGGTCAGACTATCAATGGTTTGCCTTTGTTTTCTTTTGAATAATTTCCTATTCCATAGAGATTTGATCTTATGGAAGTCTTCTTCTGAAGTTCTTTTCAGACACATACTTGACGATATTGTTTGGAAGCTTAAGTCAGCCTAGAGCTATCTCTTCTTCCCAATCCAGATTCTTCACCTCAAAACTATGTCCATCCAATATCTTCACCCAGGTAGTCTCTGCCTTAGGGATTCATGAGATAAAATCCTTCTAGAGATGTGAGGACTATGGACTGAGTTGGTTGAAAGCTAAGTTTTTGTTTCACAGGGTAGACCTTAAAGTGGCTAATAATTTTATGTCATAACCCTAATTCATTTCCACTGGCATCTACAGAATATCTACGGATATTCTTACAAGCTTTACAAGATTTGATACCTTCCTTCATAGATTTCTATATGACACCGTAGGGGCACAACTCCTGGCATTCTCATTCACATATTGTCATGTTACTTGCTCAATGAAAAGTACAGTAATACAATGTGACTAATTTATATGACATCTAGAAAAAAAATAATTTTCGATGTTTCTTTGGCCACAAAAAGGACCAGTCAACAGAATGTGCTCGTTCCCCTGATAGGTAGAGCTGTATAATGAAATTTGCAAGTATGCAGCTTTTGTGACTAAAAGAAACTAGTGGTAGGTGCATCTACCTCATTGTTCCAACTTAGGACTCACAATGCAGTCTTCTCATCTTAAATCATTGGTAGCCTCTCCTATGAAGGAGGGTATAAATGGCATGATAATCCGGTGCTGCTTGGTAAATAGTTATATAGTTTTCACTACATATCAATAAGTTGGAATCCTGGATTGCACATTAATTTTTTCTGAGATTGGATTGTTAAATCTCTGAAAGGCTGATTAACTCAAATGAATGAGAAAAAAAATTAGTTCCTGAACTTGCAGTGAATGCTAGGAGCACTATGTTACTATGTAAGGCCCTGATTGATCAGTCGTTTCCACTTTTTCACTGGCATCTCTTTTCCTTTTCAAAATCCAACAAAGAGAAAAATATATTCCTTTGAGAAAAATGTTTGCATAATGACCTAGTAGTCATTCTTGATGAAGACAACAAATTACAAATTTATAATTATAAATCACAACAAACTGTCATTAAAGTAATCCATTCTCAAATCTCACTGAAGGGTTTAGATGACAAGAGAAAGTCAGAATTCAACATCAAATTATTACTCAAAGTTTGGGAATTTTTAAACATACTGAAAAATATTAGTAGGGACTCAGACGTTTATATACCAATATTCACAGCAGCATTACTAAACAATAGCCAAAAGGTGGAAAAACTCAATTGTCCACTGACAGATAAATAAAATGTGGTATGTATAAAATATTGCTTATCTTAGACTACCACAATCTTTTTTATTACAGTCTTACTATAAAAAGTATTACTTTATGAATTCAGTCAACTTCATCTATGAAGAGGAATGATACTACCAGTAGCAAGGAGCAATATGAATAAACATTTTTATCAGTGAGAATTTTCATATTATACAAAATAGTCTTATATACTACTATAGAGAAATAGAAAGTCCTTTTCAGTAGGACAGAAATTAAGAGACTGACTTACCGAACTTGTACTTAACAGGTTTTCCAGAAGTTGTTCGATTTTGCCCTCTTGTTTTTTGACTGTAACTTTTAACTTGTCATTTTC